GCTGAATTTTATGTGCAAAACATAAATATTAAAGGTAGGCTAGGTGATCTCGGAGAGGCTAGCAATAGCAAGCTAGCTTTGAATGCATACGATCACACCCTCCCTGCAAATCCTCCAAAACACATGAATGTGCACCGGCAGACCAGAGGCTAACCATTAAAATAATGAGAGATGGCGTTGGTGGAGGATTGAATGCAACCCTGTTAGATTAACTCTTGTCTCATTCACCGGTGAGAAAACATTACAGCACAAAGCGCATAATACTCAATAATAACGCCTTCCATTCTCACTCGGCCTGCAATAGCGTAATGGAACGCGCTGATGACGTATCATGTCTGCGCGAACAGGGTGCATGGAGGTATGCAAATATATATGTTGACAGGCAGGTAGGTCAGCCTATCGTAGCCCTCGGACCGAGGGATATGATTGGACGAGCAATTTATAGTCCTATGCCTTCCATAGATGATATAAATATATTTAGACAATGATTAGACAAGGATGATCTCCTTGCAAGGGACTCTATTTGTAAAATAAGAAAGAATGAAGTACTACTTTCTTACAAAATGAACTCTACTTATCTTTGTTTTATTTACCAGTTAGTGCTATTTATTGTGTTGTTGTGATTACAGTCTCTGTTGTTTCAGATAAACGCTGTAGCAGTGTAAGGTCTCTGTCTTGTGAAACAGGCCCCATAAGCTGTGGATTCACCACGTGAATATCATGAGGAATACGCCTCACACGAGAGCATGGGATTCATGCATGATAAGGAACAGTATTGGGCATGGCTAAGCCCCGCAGCCCCATCTGATTGGAACAGCGACCCGTGGGACGGACTTAAGCCGCAGATCAAAACCCCACTGAATGCTCGCTCGCTGGCACGCTCTCGCTCTCTCTCTCTCTCTTCAAGACTGGTGACAGCGCTACAAGCGCTTCCCTGCCGCAACATCGCGGGACTCCAGAACTCAAATACTCCGTTTGAAACATCGTAACTCTGCAGAACACAAAGCCTTGCTAAAACAGAGACTTTTCAAAGGACTGTTGAAGCCTCTTCCGTCATCAGGCAAACAACCAATGCAACGAGGGCTTTCCTGAAACGACGTCATCCAAACGTCACCTCAGCGACCAATCCGAAAGCTCCGGGGTTCCCTCAGCAGCCATCCAGGAAGCCCGTGTCAGCAACGACATCATCTCAGCTTTTCAGCTGTCAACCAAGCAGAACGCAAGTAAACGAACAAAATCTTATCTCTGCTGAACTGGTGTCGAGCTACTTTAAGCAGTAAACATAAGCTAAAATTCTCTGATTTGTGAATTCTCTCAGGTGAATTGAAACCACTCGTGAAAACGAGTGTTAGAAGTTTGAAACTTCATAAGAACTTCGTCAACTCTCATTCTAAGTCTCCTCTTCTCCTGTCATTGAAAAGGAACATTCCCAAACGCGAACGTAATAACCTTGTGTACACAATCATAGTTGAGTTTTAATCACGTTTATTGAAGGTTTTCCCTGGCTTAAAAGCTATTGTTGACTTTGTTTTAAAATTTAATTCTGGTCCTCAGCCCCATTACTTTAATGCTACGTTGTGATTAATTCAGCTATAACGGCTCTGGTAATTTTAGGGACATCAGTAGATATTATCAATTTGCTATAGTGTATTCAACCGTTCTCTCTAATCACTGTTTTACTGAAATAGTGCTAATTCTCGTGCCGGTGTGTTACTGAAATCTGAGGGCTGCTGTTTGCCGGAGGAACTGCGAACTTTAGACCGCGGCCTCACGTTTCACTCGTAGCTGAAAGATGCTGCGACTGACTCCAAAACCTGCCCATAAACAAACAGTACTGAGATTAGAGAACATACTTTAACCTCAAATTAAATAAAACTCAGTATAACGAATAAAATCCATTTATGTAATGCAAGGCAAAAGGCGTTTCCATCGTGCGGAATTACCGCTGCTGACGCAGCTGACTGACATGATCTCGTCTTTGTTGCGTTGCGTAAAATAATATAATATAATATAATATAATTTTAACATTAAAGACTTTATAATTTAAGTAAAATGTATACAAACCTTTATTTCCCAGAAAGAGTGCACCAAAATCGACAGTGGTAGTGGCCACTCTCTCCTGTAGTGGACTCAAAAAGCCCACGCTCTGACTGTAACTCAGCAGCTGGGTCGTTTCGTCACAGAGGCTCAACTCAGCGGTTGGGTAGAAAAAAAAATGACACAGCAACTTAGTTACGGAAAAACTACCCAGCACCTGGGTAAAAATATTAAAAATAACCCAATAAAATGACCCAACAAGCTGAACCCAGCATTTGGGTTAAAAAAATAACCCAGCATTTTTTAGAGTGTATGATTGCCGCCCCCACTGGATCCCCCAACATCATTGGGCTAGAGTACTGTCATTCTGATGATGCCTGTATGCCATTGGATCAGGGTGCTGTCAATTGCTGAATTGCTGTCAATTGCTGAATGTTGGGCGCTAATAGGGATTTCGCCTAGGGCGTCAAAATGGCTAGAAACGGCCCTGATGGGAAGATAAAATATGGCCAAGACACTCTAAGATGAAACTAACTAGCGGTATGTGAGTACTAAACTAAGATCTCTCTCACTCACAAGTTTATGTTAAAAACTCGCATAAGTTACAAAAACACAGTTGGTTATGTCTGTGAAGTTAAACAGCTGGGAATGAAATCGCATGTTTATATTAAATTGGTGTATTCAGTGACAGCAGTGTAATTAATATTTAGTACCTATACTGCTGTCTATGCTGTTAATAGGACCCAAACAATCAAATAAAAGCAGAAAATCACTCACTGCTCTGGACTGAATAACATCTTTAACTTTAATAAGAAGTCATTTCTTACATGAATGCTGCTTTTAAATGCTCTAGCGTGAATATAAACATGGTGGATTGTGTGCGGCTCACTCAGGGCGGTGTCTCAGCTGATAAGGCAGTGTCCGTCAACAGTTGTGGGTGGCAGAGATGGCAAAAGTACACACATCCTTCACTCAAGTAGAAGTACAGATACTCGTGTTTAAAAATACTCTGGTAAAAGTAGAAGTACTGACTACACTTTTTTTACTCAAGTTAAAGTAAAAAAGTTTGGGCTCTGACATGTACTTAAGTAAAAAGTACCCATTACTACTACCATATTGACACATTAATACAAAATAACTTTTAACATTTTGTTAGCTAATGAATGTATCAAGGATGAACAACCACCATGTAGAGAGGGCAGGACTGGGACAAAATTTTAGGCCAGGAAATTTCACACTCATCCAGGCCATCCCATACACCCACAACAAATTCTGAAACCACAGACAACCCTATTTTTTGTATGGCCATCACATTTAAAAAAAAATGGTTCAAATCTTAGGCTGGGTCCATGCAAAATAATTAAAGGTTCTCTCTTGAACTGCACCTTCACTTCCATTTTACTTTTTAGTCTCTTCACTTTCCATGATATCTCTCTACATCTCACTTGTGTGTGCTTACTTTTTTTCACAGATTTTCTTGTACCTGTCACTTTTCCCATCAGTCATCTATTGTTATGAACAGAACTGTCTCCACCTTGTTGCAAAACAGCCACCTCACTGCATTCTGTTTGCAATAACCAATAACATAACTTTATTTTAGTTTAATTTAAAGTATCACATTATGACCATGTGTTGTTGTTTTATCTTAAAATGAGTTAAATACTATAGATATACTATATAAACTATATTTTCTGAATTGCCTAAATATCAAAATTAGTACAATAATAATTACATCATGACATTATCTTTACAGAAAAATCCTAATACTGAACATGTTATTGCATTATTATGATGAGTCATATTTTTCTCTTACCAAAATTAACCATGGTTTATTACAGTAAAAATATAGTAACCAAGTTTTTTTGGCGGATTGATTACAATCTGTTTTAATTTACAACCATAGTTTTACTAAAAATGCTTAACTAAATAAACAAAGACAAAACTACAGTAGCCTGTTTACAGATGAAACTGACCTGCATTTGAAGTCCTGAACAGATCAGTAGTTTTGCCTCTCTGATCCATCCGGGCGCTTCCACTCCATTCTCGAATCACTTGCATTGATTACTCTGATAGAAACCTTTTGGCGGAGACGCGGAGCACACACGAGCCGAATCGCGTTGCCAGTAAACACTAACCGATTCATGATTTATTAGAGATTTCTTCATTCACCAAATTCAGATTAAAACTAAAGTAACGAGCCTGGTTAAAAAAATATAAGACGTAGAAAAGACATTTGTGTAAAAATGTAAGGAGTGAAAGTAAAAAGTAGTCAGAAAAATAAATAGTGAAGTAAAGTACTGATACCAGAAAAATCTACTATTTTGTAGTATTTGTACTTCTTTCTTCCCTTCTCTGGTGGGTGGGGCTTGTAAAGTGTGACGTCACATTTTATGTATTCTGTGATTGGCTTGCTCTGAGACACTGCTTATGTTTTATGGGGATTAAAAAAAAAAGGAGCGGGTGGATTTTTATCACTATAGGTTGTTAGTGTACACACACTGCCATCACACATTTGTTCAAACAACATGTAAAAGTTAATTTTGCATAATAGGTGCCCTTTAAACATGCAGTTAACAAATTATTATATACCATCAAGAAATCAAGCAACCGTAACCATGTATGATTAAACCAAGCCAAATTATCACCAGAAGTGGCCCAGAGTCTGGGCGAGTTATGCAGAACATGAATCGGCCCAGCTTTACCGCTGTAAAAAAAAACATTTTTCAGAACCAGCTGCCACACTTGGCATGGATAATACATGCCGATTCAGAGTCTGAGCTGCAGGCGCCATGGAACTGCTGAGCTCGAGCCAGTTCATGCTTAATATTTGATCTTCTCACCAATCGGAGGCCAAGAGTGTTTGAGCAATATGAGAGACTATAAGTGTTTTTTTTTTTTTTTTTTGCTTTGGTTTTAGTGGGAGGAGGTATGTTTCTTATTTCAGCTTTCCTCTTGTTGCCAAGTACTCAAACTGAGTGGTCAGTCCAGCAGGATGATGCTGCTGCTTCCACTGTTTTTATGGATACTGTTGGTATCCAATACCCAGGTTTCTTCCCAAAGCTGGTGAGTTGAATTTTAAATATGCTGTTTAGCATGTATTCCAGTCTTCCTGTTTATCTGAATATTTAATATTTAATAAAGAGGTACAAACAGCAGCAGGTCAGACAAGGACAATCTTGAAACTTAATAATTGCTAGTCAATTTTACAAATAATTACAAAAAACATCATGTAACATTGAATTCAACAAAATTTTTGGGTAGAAAGACAAAAATAGTATTTTTTTTTTGTGAAACATACTCCAATAATCTTCGTTTTATTTTCAAAAATCAATCTTTACAGTGTAAATTAAATCTATTCATCACATGAAATGATAGTTTCTCTTCAGATAACTTGTATTAGAATACTCAAATATGGATTGCTTTTACTATGTTTTTATAAACGTCAACGTTTTGGGTGAATAGACAATGGGGGTGCAGAAATCTCTAAGCGTTCATTCATTTCTTTATTTATTTATTGTTTTGAAGATGAACGAAAGTCTTATGGGTTTGGAATGACGTGAGGGCGAATAAATGACAGAAGTTTTATTTTTGGGTGAACTATTCCTTTAAACAAAATGTTAAGTATTTTGTCTGTGTTTACAGTGACAGTCATGTCCTTGACTTGGCACCACAGTAAGTACACAACTTTCCAAAGTCCTCAGTGTACACAAACATAATTAAAGCAGCGTGAAGCAGGTGATCCAGTATGCATGTTTTTACTTTATGCAAAGCTGATAAAGAGTTTGTAGTGAAACTGCATGTACTGTATTCTCTGTCAGGTTTATCATCCTAGTTCCAGCAAGACTGAGGCTTGGAACGAAATTGAACATCTTACTAGAGGCGCACAGCCTGTCCAAGCCAATCACTGTCAAAGTCATTGTCTATACATACCCGAGGAAATACGTCCTGACACAGGACTCTGCCATCCTCAATTCAGAAAACAGCTACAGTGCTCTCAAAACCATTGAGGTCGGGTCAGAGGACCAAGTGTATTTATTGTCTTTGTGTGTAGAAACTAGAAATGTGCCACAACATTTTACCTTTAACTTTTCTAACTTGTTTTTATTTTTATTTTTTTTACATTTTTTTTTAAATCATGTAAAGCTTGTTGAGGTAAATAATTATCATATGGATATATCTGATTTTTTTTTCTCTATAAAATCAATCCAAACCTGTTGCTTTTGGAGACGAAGAAGAATACATTTGTTACACTGTTTGCTGAATTTGGGAGTTTTCATAAAGCTGAGAAAATTATCATGCTGTCATTCCACTCTCATGCTGTCATTCCACACTCATATATCTTCATTCAAACCGATAAACCGGTTTACAACCCTGGAGACACAGGTCAGCTCTTACACTGGACTAAGCACTAAGTTTATGTTAAATTACAAGTCTGTATCTCTGTTACTTCTCACCTTCTATCTCTGAATCTCTCAGTTCATTACAGGGATTTTGTATCCAATCCTGAATTCCAAGCTTTCAACAGCACAATATCGCTTGAGATTCAGGTGACTGTCATTATCATTAAATGAGCTTAATTTGATTTCATTTCATTCCATTACTTAATATCATTATTGATGCTTTTTATATATACCTCCATGGAACAATCAGAACCCAGATGGTATTGTGATATACGGCAGAGCCAATGCCAGTGCAAGCAACGGGATCCTATCTGAAAGCTACACCCTTTATACTGTGGTCAAGTATGCAAAGAGATTTGTGTTTCGCAACTGTCAACTAACTCTTATTAGAATATTAGTACACTGTCTGCTAAATATCTGCTGACACTTTATTTTGATGGTCTCCCAACAGACATATATACTGGCTATAAGTTACGTTGCAAGTACATATCAACTTATTCTACTAATCCTAACCTAACAGTCTAGTTAAGAGAGTTAGTTGACATACAAATTTACATTCCCTTTCTTTAGCATTTATATTTGCCTCAATTCATTTTTGAGGTACCAGAAGCAGGGCTATGGTTCCCTGTATGTATCACAGCAATGTTGGTTAAGCAACTTCGAAATTGTGCTGCCTTCAAGTGCGCTTAGGAAACTCGTACCTCCAAAAGTAAACATTTGATGTGTGAAATAGCTAATTGAATTTTTTTTTGCCACTTTAGCTACTGTACACCAATTCTGGAACTAACATTTTTGTTTTTATTTCCTAGAGAGGGAAGATGGAAAGTTGTTGCGAAGTTTGATAATGTTAAAGAAAACACATTCAGCGCCGTGTTTGATGTAAAGAAATACGGTAAGTTATTTATATTTTTCTTAGTGCAGACATTTACCTACTGCCATGCATGGTTAGAATAATTTCATTTCTCCTTGTTCCCAAGTTCTCCCGCCATTCAATGTCACTTTAACCCCAAAGAAATCCTACTTAAGCCTAGATGAGGAAAAGTTGGAAGTAGAAGTCACAGCCAGGTGTCAATCAGAACTGCTTTCACTGTTACTCAAAACTCACCTAAATTACAACCATATTAAATGGATGTTATATTAGCTCTAAATGTAATTATTGGGCTTTTGTGTTGATATTTTCTGAAGTGAAACTGTGCAGTTGTTATAAAACTGCTATAAAATTTTCAGTGATAGCAACGAATTGCCAGATGCAGACCTCTCACAATTAACTTTCTGTTTGACACATAGGGGCTTTGGCCCTGGCTAAAATCTTATTGGCCTATTCCTGGTAAATGTTTGTTTATGGAAAGCATCTGAGAGAGGGGCTCTGGCCAAACCCTCCAAAGTTAAATGAAACTGCTCTACAAAACAACGGCACACTGTAGCCCTGTGGCACCAGTCGCTTGGAGAAAATGTCTTATATAAACATAATTATTGAAAGTGCATAATTTTCATATGCAGTGTAACTGTTTTTATAGCAACTCTATAATCATGATTCTTCTATATATTGTAAGCCTCTGGTAATGGACTGATGAGTACCATAATTCCCCATTGATTAAATAAATTAAGAATTACAAACATTTTTTTGCATTACAAGTTTTCTGAAATGTTATGTTTAAATATGCAAATGAGGTATTATCTAATTAAATATGCACTAATTGTATCTAATTGAACATTAGATAAAGTCAGGTTCAAAATTCTTGTTTCATTTTGTAGAGTCAAAGGTTTTTACAGAGGGAATTTGGAATATCTATTTTTAATCTCAAATCAGAAAATACAGTCAACAGCCAGAAAAAAGAAAAAAAAAAATCCACAATATATCTATGAATAAAATGTATAAAATCAGGCAAATGATATATGAACAAACCTCTGTGTAAAAATCTTCTAAAAAGAAATGAAAGGTAATTTTCAGAAAACAGTCGTTAACGATATTTATTATTAGATATTTAAGTAAGAGACACAAAGTCACAAATAGATAAAATGCAATTAAATAAACGTTTACAGTATTTTGGATGTTTTCTTTTCACTAATTAGAAACAAGTTATGCCAAATAGCCCAAAATCTCAAAACTGACCAGTGCATAACAAAACAATGTTTTTGTCTGTCTGTGACTTGTCTTAAATTGCTTGAAAAGAAAGTAGTAAGTTTGAGGTCTTGAATCCACCTTTCAAGGATACAGAGTCATATTAGGCCTCTTAGGCCCCCCTCTTTAAAAAAAATAATAGAATCACTACTGGTCTTCTGACAGCATGGTTTAACTAGTTTAACATGTAAATGATAAACATTCAAAACTTAAAAATATTATAGAATGAATCACTATGTGTCCTCTTCCCAGGTATCTTCATGGCAAACCAGTGAAAGGTGTTGCATTTGTGCTGTTTGGTATTGAAATAAATGGTGTGAAAATGAAAATAACATCTATGAAGCAACTGAAAGATGTAAGTTAAAGAGAGTGAGAGGTGTGTGTAAGAAAGATAATAAATGTATTTTCTATTAAAGATTTAACTGTTTATTTGCAGCTAAAAGGAAAAACTGTTAGTTTGACTATGGAGGAGATAAAGAAGGCCTATCCTGACACAAACAGCTTACTGGGGTCTTCTGTGTATGTCAAAGCATCAGTAATGACCAGCTCAGGTGGGAGATCATTACCCTTGAAATGAGACCACAATTTTGTAATAAATATGTAGAAAACTAGCATGGTGATATTTTTATACCTCCAATATTTTAAATAAATTGCAAGCTTGCTTTGGCCAATCATAATTAATATAATTGTTAATAATCAATAATAATGTTATAATTCATAATTAGAAGTACAAATCAATAGCTTCTATTGTTTTGTTTTTTTAATGTTTAAAGGAACACTCCACTATTTTTGAAAATAGGCTCATTTTCCAACTCCCCTAGATTTAAACCGTTGAGTTTTACCGTTTTCGACTCCATTCAGCCGATCTCCGGGCCTGGCGGTAGCACTTTTAGCTGCAGCTTAGCATAGATCATTGAATCTGATTAGACCATTAGTATCTCACTCAAAATTGACCAAAGAATTTCAATATTTTTCCTATTTAAAACTTCACTCTTCTGTAGTTACATCGTGTACTAAGACTGACGGAAAATGAAAAGTTGCACAGCTGACAGAATAGCATACGCAGTTTGCGTTCAGTGGATACTCTCCAAAATGGCACCAGGGTGATGTGGAACAGACAAATTGTTGAATAAAGTCGTTATTTGTTTTCTTTGCGTACAAAATGTATTCTCGAAGCTTCGTAATATTACGGTTGAACCCCTGATGTCACATGGATTATTTTACCGATCTCCTTGCTACGTATCTGCACCTTGATCTTGGTCAGTGTTGGGGGTAATATATTACAAGTAACGCAAGTTATGTAATCAGATTACTTTTTTCAAGTAACTTGTAAAGTAACGCATTACTTTTTAGCAATTCTACGCAGACCGCAAGCTCTATGATTGGTCTGCAAGAACCCCTCCCTCCATATGTACTTGAGTTTTGTGTGTGTTTATGTGCACTTTAATAGCCTACTCTCAGATAAATGAGGCCTACGATTAATCAGATGCAAATATAAATACAAAACCAGTCCTAAATGAAAGAAAAGAAGTTGACAAAAACATTGAATCCAGTATTTGGTGATAATATAGCATAATGAGTGATTTATAAGCTTTTTTTTGAGGCCGGGTCATTTTTGCCCTGGAACATCACAAGTGTAACAAGGTGAAAAATCTCCCTCAGAAAAGTATGAAAATGATCAAAAATTTTTTTAGAAGTATTTATACCCTTTGTGAACAAAGTCACAAAATTTCAGTCCAATGCGATAACATTAACTAGTATTTTCGGGAAAAATAAAATTTTCTCAGAGCAAAAAGGACCCGAACACCACATGAGGGTTTTAAAAGAACCATTTAATGCACCTCATAGAGCAAAGAGCATTTTAATAATCTAAAGAATCTTTTGTGGAATGGAAAGATTCCATGGATGTTACAATGGATGTTACAGACAGAAGATTTTTCTAGGAAACATAGATGCCAATAAAGGGTGTATATGTGTGTCTTATTTTGGTAAATATGTCCGTACATTGGCAGGTAAAAACAGCTCTTCCTGGTGTGAATGCAGAAAAGCAAACTTTAGAGGAGATGCCTCTGGAGCCATATTTTGGTTTTGACGGCTACAGTAAGAACTACCTGCACATCTCAGTGGGCTCCAACAAAGTGGCGGTGGGCAACAGTCTTATCATCAAAGTGTACATTAAAACCACCTCACCAAAACACAGAAAACTTGTGAAGCAGCTGACGTATGCTGTGAGTGTTGGACATTTTGGGAAGAGTTAAACATGACTGGAATACAGTAGTCTTTAAATATACAGTGCTCTCTTTTCCTTATTTCTTCTGTTCTGACCTTTTTTCCTGTCTAGGTTTTGAACAAAGGGAAAATAATAACAGCTGCCAGGGTAGATGTAGGATGCCAGGATGTCACAAATATTCCTTTGCTGGTTACCACAGAGATGCTACCTTCATTCCGGCTGGTGGCGTACTATATGTTGCCATGGCAACTAATTGCAGAAGTGGTGGCAGACTCAGTGTTTGTGGATGTGGAGGATCAGTGTTGTGGCTCAGTAAGTATGTTCTGAACAACTACTTTGGAGAATATATGTGGCCTACTCGTTATAGAGTGCATTAGTGCCCGCCCACTTTTTCAGCAGCATTGGTTCTGGTATCTGGTATCAGTATTTTTAGGGGCCAAGCCCTGAAGGGGTGTAGACCCTATTGTATCTGTCCGTTTTCTTAAGTCAATGGCAGCCCTATCAAGTTCAACCATACATAGGAAAATTATTAAATTTGGCACACTTATAGTGGTGGTCCCGAATAGTAATTTTACCAACTTTGGGGTCTCTAGAACCAACTCTATAGTGCCACCACCAGTTAAAAAATGTAGTTGACCTGATTACTCTCCTCATGCTGATCACATCCACTATCTTACATTAAGACTCCACCCATTAAAGTAGTGGTCATTTTGAACAGTACAGTATTTCATTTTTTCGCTACTCCTCCTTCGAATTTTGTAACATAAAAATTGGATCAGATTATCACTGGACCTTGCCACATATAAATGACCGAACAGAATTTTGAAATTCATCTTTGTTCAGAAGTTATGATGACACAAACTTTACGATGCCGACCAAAATTTGGATCAGAGGCTGTTTCTCGGCAACACTTTGATCTGTTGAAACGAAATTTGGTGATTATCAGCAGCATAATCTGAGGCTCCATGCCGAATTTGGGAACAGCACCACCTACAGGTCATGAGATCTGAAAAATTGCTATTTTTGCTTATAACTTTTGACCATTTTGTCAGAAAATCATTGTCTATGGATCCCTTGGGTCATGCTAAATCCATAGATATCGGTTTTGCCAGGATCGGATGAAACTCCTGTCCGCTATATTGAAATTTGTCATAAATTGCAATATCTTTTAACCGTATGACGCATACGATCACACCAGTGTGATCACTCTAGGCTGGTCCCTGATGCATATATGATCACAATGTGATTAGAACGTTCAGTGCGTCACGTGATCAGCTGCTAAATTCAAATCTGCTTTCACGCTTTGGCTGGAACTGAGCAAGAGACAGACGCACTGAGCATTTGGGATATATCACAACTGTTCAGTGTTTTCAACCACATAATGTTTATTTTAGGTTTCAGATATTTAAATACACATAAGTACTAGCAAAAATAAATTTCTAGATTGTAAAATACGCATTGATGTCAATGAAAGCAGCAATAATGATCCTTACAAATATAATCTGACGACATGTTTTATTGATATCATATACACATTGTGTAGGTAACTATAAAGTTTAATCTACTCTTCTCCCAGTTCACCCGAAACATACTTTAATATCATTCGGGAGGAGAGGATGAATTTACATGTTGTAAATTCCACAGCTCGGATTCAGCGCAAACTAACATGGCGGCGCCCATCACCCGTTATAGATCAACTAACATGGTCATTATGAAAGTGTTTAAACTACCAAATACATTTACTTACATGTATTTGAGAATAGGAATATCAGATTTTTCATAATACAGTTAACAAGTTTGTAAATATTTTGAATAAAAAAGGAAAAATGGAATAAAAGGGATACAGCTGTCATAAACAATAAGACGATCAATTCTAAAATATCGGTAACATAAAAAAAACTCACGCTGGAAGGTCAGCTAGAATATTTTTAAGTGAAAAAGGGTTAATGTGAAAGGGTTAAACAATTTGACGTGTTGGCAAAGAATTTGGTAGGTATCATCGACAGCATTTCCTGAAGGTACCTGAGAAATTTGAACACAGTGTCACCTAGTGTTCCAGAGATATGTCCCCCCCCCCTAACTTTTGAAAACATTTTTACAATTTTCTTTAGGTGGTCTCATTCCGTTCCTTGGTTTATGTCGATTCTGACAATATCTCATGTTTCATTTTCCATAATTTTGTTTCTCTGCTGTTTTTATTTTATTTTGTGGCTGTTTGGCTATGAAGGTAAACACAAATAATGTTACCAGTTAAGTTAGATTAGCATCCTAATCATTAGCATGTTAGCTAATGCTTGTGTGTGTGTTCCTCCTCACACTGAAAGTTCTCTTCAGCATCAGGGTCCTGTCTGTGGCACAGTGTGATAAGCGTTGCACATTCGACCAGTATGTCTTAACTCTTCCTAACTCGTTTTAGTATGGGTGTCAGCCATGATTTGTCTTTCCAAAATAGAAATTTTGTATTAGTACAAGAAACCATCCTTCATGGACAGTTTATACACCGATCAGGCATAACATTATGACCACCTTCCTAATATTATGTTGGTCCCCTCGTACCTTGATAAAGGCTACTTGCCGAAACATTGGTTAATAAATAGCCCATGCTTAAGTGAGTGTGCAGTTGTTCTCTTACAATTTGGTCCCCCTTTTGCTGCCAAAAAAGCCCTGACCCGTCGAGGCATGGACTCCACTAGACCCCTGAAGGTGTGCTGTGGTATCTGGCACCAA